ATTTTCTTGTGTTGCTACAGCCTCCCGCAGGACACCGAATTCCACAGCAACATCTATCACTTTTCTTAGTCTCTTTCCCTTTCTAATTAAGTATGATTCATACCCATTTCAGAATAATACCTGGGCTTTTCCCAAGCACATCACAAAAAACTTCTGTGGAGGAGTAAAAAAAAAAAAAATTTTTTTCAGTACTATTTTTAACATTAAAAAAAAAAAATTAAAAATCGCCATTGTACGAACAACAGCTTCTCAAATATGTTAAGACAGCTGTGCACTGCCAGTGGTAACCCGGAACCAGATACCAATCTGCCAAAAAGCTAAGTCCCGTCAAGCCAAGACACATGTGAATTAATTCTTGTTTGATTTTATTAATCAAGCATGTCTGTTGGTTAATGTTCTTTTGCCTCCTTCTGGACAGATAAAATCAAACATCTTGACAAACAATTTGGAACCGATGTGAGCAAAAACTACTCCTGGTCTAGAGCACCTAACATGAATTTCACATGAGAAAGCCCATGGGGCTAAGCTAATACATTCCTTGTTACAGATCATTACTGTGATCAATCTTTGAGCTTCTGTCATAAGGATCTAATTAAAAGTTAGTCAAAATGTGGTTTAAATTTACTTTCTCTACTAATTATTTTTATGTGATCATGAAAGTGATATATGTTAGTTATAGAAAAGGTAGAAAGTAGAGAAAAGTATAAAGTCACATATAAGTCTACCAATTAGAGAGAACTATTCCTAGCATTTTCCCCCATCTACTACACTGTGCAAATATACTTTTCAAATTAGCAGGATCATAATGTACACAAAAATTTTGCATTTAGCTATTTCCCATGTCTTAACAAAGAGTTTCTGACTAAAGAAAAACCAACTGTATAAGTGATCTGAACACCTGGAAAATTTTCACTCTTCTAAATAAGGATAAAACCGTTTTATTAACATATTTGTATCTGATTTACTTTTCTTAAGATAAAATTCTTAGGAACAAAATTAATTAAAGGCTCCTGATATTTACTGATTGTTATTTTCTAAAATGGTCACAGACATTTCAACTCCCAGAATCACCACATAAAAAGGTCCCTTTATACATCCTTGCCAACAACACTTGGCATGAGGGGAAAAAGTCTTTTTCTATTGGTATTTAGCATTCGAGAAAAAGAAAGGGGGGAGGGGAGTCCTTTGTTTTGCCATATTGTCAACAATTTATGACAGCACTTTCCATTCTCCATATGAGTGAATTCTTTCTGGTTTCTTTTTCTATTAGGGAGCTGGTCTTCTTTACTGACTTCTAAGAAATCCTTGTACTATTCTTTAACAGTTACAATGTTTAAGAAAAACCCTCTAGGGAACCTTCTCTCCCCACCCTCCTTTAATCTGCTTTGGAACCTCAACTACCATTGCTTATCTCACCACCTTCTTGGCTACACAGAAAGCTGCTTCTCTGCTGCAGCCTATCCCACTATCCAGAGAGGGATACACACTCCTGCCTGTATTCGAAGGCCCGAAAAGGCCTCTGCCCTGCTCCATTTCCTCACACGCCTGTCCCCATCGTAAGTACAATTTCCAACTATCCACTGAGGCCCAGCTCACGCAGATCTCTTCTAAGATCCAGGACAGTCAGTTATCACACATTATCCATAGGACTACCTAGTATTTTTGTATTACTAGTTAACTTGTCTTGGAATTGTCCTTGTTCCACAATTAATACATTAAATACTTACAGAGAACCTAATGTCTTATCAACTGCTTTTTACACACAACAAATTCTCAATATGGATGATGTGAACAGTGAAAGCTTGGCTGCTCCCTCTTCCGCCCTCTTGCCCTCTAAGAGTTAAGAATGCACCCCATTCTTCTCACTATGCAATGACCCAGCCCACAGTGCTGGCATACTTAGTACGCCGTAAAGACAAACAGAACTGTTGCTTCAACAAGATAAACTAGCACTACAGACACACTCAGGAAAAGTCCCGGACTGTCTACAACACGGGCATATTTCCCTTTCTTAAATATCTGTTCTTTTAAAGAGAATTCTTTTCCACTAGTTATTTCCCAATAAATGTGTAAAAAGATTAAAGAACTTGCTGAAAATTGAGAGGATGAGGAATGGACAACAAAAATGCAAGTCTCCATGTGTGGCTGGCATCTTTACGCAGTAACATTCTGTCTTTTCCTACACAAAGAAAGGATGCTCTCTGGTTTGCCTGCAAGCAAGCAACTACCAATAGAGCCAAATAAAAAACTTCTCCAACACTGACAATTATTTCTCGAGCTTCCAACATTATCATGCACAGGAAACAAATGAGTTATGTCCAAGTTCTTGCCAAATACTCTCAAATTCAAACTCTTTTTTCTCCAAGGTATTTTTTCACTCAAGTTTTTTTTTTTTATTTTTTTTATTTTTATTTATTTCTAGGAGAGAGAGAGAGAGACAGCGTGAGCAGGGAAGGGTCAGAGAGAGAGGGAGATAAAGACTCTGAAATAGGCTCCAGGCTCTGAGCTGGCAGTCAGCACAGAGCCCGACGAGGGGCTCAAACCCACGAACCGCGAGATCATGACCTAAGCGAAAGTCAGATGCTTAGCCGACTAAGCCACCCAGGCGCCCCTTTTTCACTCAAGTTTTACTGATGACAGGCAATATGAACAGTCTCGCTGCAGTCTATTCTGCCAAACCCAAATGTTCCAGAACAGTGCTGGTCTAGGTATGACCCATGAATCAGCAACAGTCTGCAAACCATAATGGATCCGTAACAAGATATGTAGAAACCAGGAGTGTTTTAGAAGCTTTTATAGCCACTTGACATCATTTTTCTAGTAATTCATCTTAATTGTATTTTGCAAACATAGTCTGAGACAAATTAGGATTAAAAGACAAAAACAAAAACTGGCCGATTACCACCACTTGAAAAGCAGTGGCTCTAGAATAAGCTTGCTGATCTTTTCCCAGTAACGACACACCGAAAGTCCTATTTTTATGGTGCATGTGGGTAAACAAAGAAAATTGCCATAAGAAATATAGAGAGCCCAAGTTTCCCTAGGTACCCAGTTACCCCGGGATCAGAGGGATCTTTGCAGGGTGTAAGTAGTGGAGAAGCGCTGCTCTAGAAGTCACAATCTGGCAGTCCAGGCCCTCCCAAACGGAACTCCCTATGCTATCCAATCTCGGATCATGTTCTAAGAGGAATTCCAGCCGCCTGGCAATTCTGGTTCAATGTTTTAAATACCAGCTATACTGTCCCACCCTTCTGGAAATACCTATGCCCTATAAACCACACTGTATTTACCTTTCAAAAAAGCTCAACACTCAAGACTCAAATTAAGGCTCATGCTTTACATCTTCCTTCCTCCTACCTGCACTGAGATTTTCTTCTTACACAGAAATCACTAAAAAAGCATGATAACATACTCATTAATAAGAGCGTAGGGACGGATCTGAGAATGGGTCCTCATACATTTCACTTTCATAGTGCCTGTTCTACCGCAAGAGATTTTAAGGTCTTCTCACTGGGAAAGCAGGATTAAGTCCTTCCCTTTCGCTATGACTTTTACAATAACAGGACAGCATGTGAACTAAGAATCCTGGTGTCATCTGCATTAAGTTGCTTAGGCCATTTCCAGGATTGGCTTTTTTAGAGCACACCATCTTCTAAAAGATTATGCCTTGGAACCAACTGCCCCCTAGTTTCAACTTTTTACATTCTTACAAACTCTGGGACACATTATTTATGGTCTTCCTTCACCCCTACTCTCATTGGGATCCACTGTCAATTAATTACTTAGACCAACTCAGATCATTTTGTGCCTTTATAAACACAGTCACAGAATTTGTTTTTTTCCTAAGCCACTTAACTGGAGCTTACAACTTGCTTTCTTCCTCATACAACAGTAGGACTTTGCAGCAAATGTCTTCCTATGACTGTATCGGTGTCAAAATATTTCTTAGTAAACAATACTTTTCTAAGAGATTTAGAGCCAAGAGTCCCTCTTCTGGGTCATGTCTGCATTCCTGGGAACTAACCAGCTCTCATTCTCCATTCACCCTAAGTAACTTCCCTTCCACCTCTGATTTAGATTCTTACTTCAAAGTAGAATTCCTATATGCCACTTTCTTGGGGGAAAGAAAAGTTTTTCCTTCAATGCCAGTCTTCCTTTTGTTTCCTGGATTTTTTATATCCACAGTCATTTCATTCTATTTTCTTCCTCACACCAAGACTGCTTCAGAATATACACTTTTTAAAATTTTTAATTTCTGAGAAAGAGAGAGACAGAGTGCGAACAGGGGAGCGGCAGAGAAAAAGGGAGACACAGAATCTGAAGCAGGCTCCAGGCTATGAACTGTCAGCACAGAGCCCAATGCCGGGCTCGAACTCAAGAACTGTGAGATCATGACCTGAGCTGAAGTCGGACACTGAACTGACAGAGCCACCCAGGCGCCCCAAAATATAAACTTTTAAGTTGTTCCACATCACCTGTGTGACCTGTGGGTCATAATTACAGAAGTGTCTGTATTCCTTGCTAGATTACAAACTTGGAATCAGAAAAAGAGCTTATGAATCTGACACGCTATCAGATACAGACTCCCTCCATACTTCACTAGTAACTGAGAGGGAACAAGGTCACTGATGTGACCTGAAGTGCTGCCTTTTAAATACTTCCAAGCTTTTGTATTATTCAAGCAGAAAAACGTAGATGAGGTTAAGACAGAAAAACTCTGGAACTGGCGATACTACAATTCTCCCAGGAACCCTCTTTTAAAGCACTGCAAATTTTAGAATGCTCTCCAGAGTCACTAGAATTTCTGGATAGCCCCGGATAGATTCCCCTGGAAGATGCCAGCTAAAATCTCACAAACCATTTCTGCTCTTACCTCAAATCCCTGAAAACAGCCCCAAATGCTCTTAAAAAACCTGTCTGTTAAAAAGCACAAAATCATCCCACAGAATCTGACGAAGCAAAGCAAACAGAAATGCTTCCCGTGTGCCCTCCACACGTACCAGTTTGGCTTGTGCTTCTGCAATTTTTCGGTTATTCTCTTCCAGTATTCGCTCTAGCTCCTCACGTTTTGCACGTTCTTCCTCCTAAAGGGGAGGACAGGTTAAGATGTTAGAAAAATAAAATGTTTATTTTCACTGATAAATATTTACTAATCTTCCTCTGAACTTTTTCGAGCTGACTTAGAGGGCAGCTTTACAGCTACCTTCTGTCTGACAAACGATAAACTGTGCAGCCACTAAAATTTGTTTCTAGCACTAAATTTAAATCATCCCTCCCAGTCCAAACAGCAACCGACTAAACCCTCCCTAATGATAGTTTCCTGGCAATTACTACTAATACTTTAATATCACACAAATCAACAAGGACAACTACAAAACTGGATAGTATTTACCAAATTAAAAAAATAATATATAAAATATAAATAAAGTGAATATTTGTCTCACCAATTATGTATACCTACGTATTCTTTACCTATACTCCTTTAATCAGCATTAAAAGTTGAGTATTTACTGTCTTGTCCAGTGTCCTGCAGAGTGTGCTCCTCGGCTGCCATACGCGCCAGCTTCCTCTTTAAAATGATTTGTACTGTTAGCTTGGCAAGACCTGCATCAGCAGCTCAACCATTTATAAAGGAACAACATACAAGGAAGGCTGAGCTGAGGAATGCAGATGTTTATGGTAAGAAGGAACAAAAAATGTAATTCATCATTCCTAAGGCAAACAATTAATAAGAAAAATACATTTACTGTTAGTGAAAAATACAAATGGTAATCCATACTTCATGGAACTAAGGGCTTCTTCCATGGGGAGAATGGACTTAACATTCAGATGTTGACCATTTCTAAAGGCAGCTTATCTTGTCATCTACAGTCTGAACTGAAATTCAGGAATCCAGGGGGTGCATGGTCCGGAAATAAAATTCTGTAATTTATGTTTTATTGGAGAATTTAATGAGATTTTATAATGCAAACTATATGAAGACTGCTTGATGGTTTGGGCAGTGTTCAGATCACAGCATACATATTCAAATGATTTTAATATTTGGAAAGACTGTCAGAGGGTTGTGTCCGTGTAAAAAAAAAATTGTTAATATGAAACAAAAAGCAAATGAAGAGAAAAAAATCTTCCTATGATTAATAACTCGCTACAAGACAGCACCATTACTCCAAAATTATCTTCATTATTAAAAGCACTGATAGAAGTAAAATTTCATACATTTCAATCGCACAGTCTGTGATAGCTACCAAATAGAGACACGTGTATCTACTTAAAGACAGCACAAGGGAAAATGCACTTGAAAAGCTAAGCTTACTGGAAAACAAGACAGATTTAGTATGATGCCAACTTGCCTGTAATAATGCCAAGATTCACAATGGTACAAGACATATATTTTGAGTCAAATATTAAAGTTCAAGAAAATAGAACTACAGGATTTTCTATGGCACACACCAATGGAATTTGTATTCATTATGCAAACTATGTCAAGGGACACTCAGCACTGTAAAGTAATTTGCCTTGAGTGTTTCAGTGACTTTCAACAAGTTTTAGGAACCTGGAGTAATCAGTGCAAATAAGCCATAAAGCTTCAGTAGCAAATTACTGTCTCACAGAAAGACATTTTCAACTTCTGCTCCAGCTGCTGATAAAACAAATCATGTGTTTAGCTTGACTCCAGACAAGGACAACCTGTTCCTTCATAACTCTCTAGAGAAAAAAAGGAGTTGTTAGTAGATACTAAAAAAAGTGGATGAATAATCTGGACATTTTTCCTAAAAAGATTCCTTGAAACACATTAGGAAAATGGAGGGCCTTATGATCAGAATGCTAGAATTAGTCCATTGTGTTGAAGCAGGATTTGGGGGAGGGGGTAAGGGATAAAAGAAGGAAAAAAAGAGCAAGAAAACCTATTTATCAAAAGCAGGTGCTGTCACTCAATGTTAGGCCCTGCTCTTTGTAATCTGACTGAAGGCAAAAAGCCTCTCACAGTCTAGGCAGTAAGAATGATAAACAGAAAAGAAGAATACATAACCACAGGTGGATTTTTAACCTTTTCCCTTTACCACTCCCTGTCTCCCGCCACCCTCCCAAAAAAGAATGTAAGTCCTGCAGCCATGGCAAAAGTTTCAAACACTTCTCAAATATGTAAGCCAGTTCCATTAAATCAAAAAGTATCCTTGAATGCGTTTTATGAAAATAACTTTGAAATATCAGTCAGCACTTCTGAATAGGCTAAAAAATTAACTTTCGCAGCAATGTTAAGTTTAGATGAGAAAGGAATTAGTCTGTATTCCATCTCTTTCTGAACTGAGCAGGAGGCACACCCGACACTGAAAGTTTTGCCATGGACTGTCTCTACTTTCCAAACGACCGAGCGTTACCTCTCTGGCTTTTTGTGCTGCAAGCTCAGCTTGTCTCTGTCGCTCGAGTTCTTCGAGCAACTGCTTTTCCATGATGCGCTTGGCTTCCTCCACCCTTCGGAGAACTTCTCGCTCGATTTCATCCTTCCTTTTCTCCAATTCTTCCTCTACCCTTTTTGCCACTAATTCTTCCACTCTTCGTGCTGTTTCTTCCTCGATGAGTTTTTCTTCTATTTCCTGCTGCCGACTAACCAACAAAGTAGAAAAAAGGGACTTAGATGACACAAGGAAACCAAACAATGAAACCTAGCTATAAGTCTGTAAAACATTCAGCCGGATTCTAGGATTTTATAATTTTCGTGCAACATTCAAAGACATACTAAATACCAAGATGTTCAGGGATGTAGTAACTCAGAAACTCAAACAAGTACGAAGCCATGTTTTGTTAGCTGTCACTCTCCAAATCCAAAATGACTATACAAAGAGCTTAATTCATTAGTTCTAATTTAAGAACTGTAAGCAGACATCTGAAACAAGAAGTCTACTTTGTTACCAACTTTTTAATGGAAGGACAAACTGCTAAGTGCATGGATTCACTCATTCGCCAGTCCACTCAGTCTAAGGGTTGAGCTTCAGGAGAAGTCAGGAGAAAATATTATGAAGCAAGCAATTCAGACTAACTCCATCCCCCTCACTAGCAAAATCAGAATAAATAGAGACTTGGAGATTCAGACTGCCAAAGCAATGTAATGTAGCTTTTTCTGAAAACACAGACCAACTTAATTCAGGTTCTGAACCTAATACCTCTTACTGTACCTCCTTTCTTTGGATAATTTTCAATTAAAAGCTCTTCAAGATGTGGGAGGGTAGATGAAAATATACTGCCAATTCTAATAAAAAGTTCAATGAAGCATGATACAGTTTTAATAATTTTGATCCAATTTAGAGAATATAAACCAGCTTATTTACTCAAAATGACACTGCACTGAAAATACTGACATTTATCAAGGCACTATAGTGGAAACCATGTACATTTGATATCACTAATATCCAAAAGAATAGCTACTGGTCACATATGTCTAGTCTGAACCGAAGATTAGTACAATGTAAAGATATAAAAGCTCTTATAAATATCTGTGTTTACGTGTTAAAATGACAATATTTTAATAAAGACTAGGAATGTATTAAAATTTCACTGGTTTAACAGGACTACTAGAAAATTTTAAATTACATAAGTAGCTCACATTGTTATTTTGAGACGGTAATTTGTACTGAATTAATAATAAATTCTGAGGCTCTGGAAGTATACCTAAATCCTAAGAGGCCAATTTATTATTATTAATGCTTCAACTTTCTCACAACCCATAAAATTAAATACAACCTGTAACCTTTATATCTTTTGATGACTCATAAATATGTATGAGCCAGTCATTCAATTTACGTGTTTAGTAAAGATTTTATAGTGTCTAAGCGACCTTTAAACACCCTAATCCACTTCAACTAAACTGTATTTTGGGGGTGGGGGAGGATTCAATTCCCACTCAAGTGCTTTTTTTTATTCGCAACTCCTGTTACTTATTCACACTGATACCATACTAACACCAGTATCTCTTTAACACTCTGATTCATTTCAGTTTCTGCATTTATAATCTCTTATGTTTTTCTGTCAAGGAGATAGTAGCCACTTGAAAAAGCACAATTTATTTTTGGTTCCAGATATATGCATTACCCATTCTGAAGATTCTGTGGCCTGTTTTCTTAAATATTTCCTCCCAACACTAAATTATCGATTTTTATTTAAAAAGATACAAAAGCCTAACAAATACTCTAAACAATGCTCCTTTCCCTATTCAACTTCCAATAAAATAGTTTAAGGTAGTTTCAATAAGCCTTTACCTATGACAGCTCAATAAAACAGAATAGCTATCTATCCCAATACTAAAATGAATTGCCAGACGTTATCTCAAGGAAATCATTTTGTTTCTCTACCTCACCCAAAGAGAAAAACATTAAGCTGAAATAAGTCTGATAACTGTCAAACCTAGATGACGGGTATATTAAGATCATAATACTCTCTCCACTTTTGCAGAAGTTGGAAAGTTTATGTAAAAAAAGTATACACCACTCCCCACAAAGCAAACATACTTTTGCTGGTAAAGAAACCTAAGACGAAATTTTTTCTTAAAATGTCAAAAATGGTGCAACTCAACTCATAAGGACAATGTAAAAAAGTTTCAATTAAAACTTTACCAAGTAAAAAGGAGAGAGAAGAATGGAATAAGGCTTTGGGCTAGTTTATCACTAGAAAAGTTGACAAATAACTTAGGAATTTGGTAAAGATGGAAGAGACCTGATACATATTCAGGGTTTTTTGTCAAGCAGTCCCTGAGTAATAGCAATAGCACAATGGCTAATGGGGTCACATTTCCACAGATTTGGTAAGGAGAAAATAAGCCTAAATAAATTCAGTTTATTACTTACAGCAAAAGCCAGATCAGCACAGTGTCAGCTCTGTTCCTGGTCCCACTCGTGGACACCAAACCAGAGGGGACAGGTGACATGCAATACAGGCATAGGCAGTGGGCTGTTCTGCTGCTAAGGAGTCAATTCTAAGGACAGCTCAGCGGTTTTATAGCCCAGAGGGGAGGGCCAGTGGAAAGTCCCAAGCTCAAATGAAACTGAGAGGATGAGAAAAGGCCTCGTGGAGTTTCTCACAAGGCTGCTTATCTCCCTTTGTTCCTAGAGGAAGCCCAGGGCACACCACGGTGACCGCAATTAAGCCTTGCTGCTCTGTCCCCCCTGGTGACAGGCAAGGTCAGGGCGCCACAGCAGAATGGCTCCCCTACAAGTATTATCAACAATATAACTTTCTGTTGTTGCTATTCTTAGTAACTTACTGTTATTTTAGTACAAAAAAAATTTTTTAAAGCGATTTTTCAGATTTAGCACTGAAAAAGTTACTCTCAATAATGTTTCAATTCCCCTCTCCCCACACGGGATTCAGGAAAACACATGTACAATTGAATTAAGCAGTTCATCTCTACTGATGACAAGCTTATCATAATCAATGATAAAGAGCTATAAGGCTAACTTTCATAAGGGGCACTGATATTTTCTTGGGGTAAAAAGATCACTTTTGCTCATCAGCATCTTAATAATAAAAAACATACCATTTCATGTCACTGCCTACTACTCCTTAAAACTTTTTAAGTTTTTATTTATTTTGAAAGAGAGAGAGAGAAAACGTGTGTGCATGAGCGGGGGTGGGGGGAGGTGGGAGGGGGCAGAGAGGGAGAAAAAAAAAATCCCAAATCCCTGTTCTGCCACCACAAAGCATATCACGTGGCTTGATCCCATGAACCATGACCTGAGCCAAAATCAAGAGTCAGATGCTTAACCGACTGAGCCACCCAGGTGCCCTGCTCCTTCAAATTTTTGCCATAGGAGTGGTCACTTTCCTGATATTCTTTAGTAGCTCTAATCTCTTCCTCAGGCTCCTCTACTGAATATACTCCCTTGCCAAGAATTTGTGCCAGTGCTGAAAGGGTTGAATCACAACCTTCAAGTTTTCAATGGTAGTATGTGTAACACTAGGTCCCATTTTCTCCATGCTCTCAGGTATTTTAAAAACTACAGTCACCGGGGCGCCTGGGTGGCTTAGTCGGTTAAACGTCCGACTTTCGCTTAGGTCATGATCTCGCGGTTAGTGGGTTCGAGCCCCGCGTCGGGCTCTGTGCTGACTGCCAGCTCAGAGCCTGGAGCCTGTTTCAGTCTGTGACTCCCTCTCTCTCTGACCCTCCCCTGCTCACGCTCTCTCTCTCTCTCCTAGAAATAAATAAAAAACATTTAAAAAAATAAAAAAATAAAAAAATAAAAATAAAAACTCCAGTCACCATCAACTCTAAAATCATAACTACTAAAACAGTAAAGGGCCAGCAATACAGCACTTTTAAACTAGAGTATGACTTTGAACACAGCAACTGGCAATTTTATTTTAAATACTGTACACAAATATTTTAACATGTATGAAAACCCTAGGAGCTTCCTTCTAGGAAGTGCTTCATAACATCAGCAGACAGCATTAATTCAGCACTGAAAAGGGACCAAATACTGTGCCAACAGCTTTACACATCATGTCATCACTTACACCTCTGATGGTTCCTGAGGCACAGGAATAGCTCAGGAGCTGGGCTGCAGCTCACTGCATTTTGCTAAGAGAGGACTCCAAACCTAGGCAGACTCCAAAGCTAATCATCCAGGCACTATACTACCCTACAAAGGCAAAGGCATGCAAAAATATGTAACGACTCAAATTCTTTTAAAAAGTCATAAATTTCTTATCAACATCAGCTAGATCTTATGCCCTTATACTTTGTCTTAAAGCCCTAACTTCCTGGAAATACAGTTCCACATACTGGATTGGCTCACAAAAGCTGTTCTCTGCTCTCACAATGAGCTCATCAAGTACTCTAAGGGTCACTGTACAGATCCCAGTTCAGCTTAGACACTTTAATTCAAAAGGCTCTCAACCTGTCATGCACTTGAATACTAAGCATATTCACACCTGGACTATCACAGGCTACAATAAATTATTATACTCATTAACATTTCCTGATTTGCTGCAAGTCATTTACAGCTGTCCATTTTCTCAACATGCACAAAGCATCTCAATAGAATACATATGAAAATGATAAGGAGAGAGAACCACACTAAATGTCTGGGACACAGGGAAGAGGTAAACTTCTGAATTCAATTTTGAAACATGTGAATTAGTCAAAAATGAGAAAAAAAATGTTTAATGTTAAGCTCTGCCTTTTATAACATTAATATAACTCACAAGAGCACTTCATAAACTCACCAGGCTCCATGTGGCTGTGTGTACACAAATTATATTACGCCACGTATGGAGGCCCATCATATGGTATGTCTAGTTACCGTATGTGTGCGGTTTCTCATCTTCCTAAGGAAGACCAGTATCTTCATTTCAGAAATAAGAAATCCAGCTTCACAGTTAGGTGATGTATTCAAGGCCTCACAATTGTAGATAGCAAAGCAATCTGGTTTCCGTTATTTCCACAAAATTAGTTAAGCCCAACAGCGTATTCCCATTTTGCAGTCTCTCACCTCCCACGGACCCTTTTCCAGGTACTTGGACACTGTGCACTCTGCTGTCCCTTCTCTGCTTCCAGGAAGCGCCTGTCTTCCTCCAACAAACATTCCCCCAGGTCCTCTCAGTCCTGTGAGCCAACTGCTCTTTTGCCTCCACACTCCACCTGGATAATTCTGTCTACTCTCAAGGTTTCCTCCAGGCTTCAGGCTCCCATATCAACCGTGAATAAACTCACTATATCCAGATGTAAGTGCCGAGAGTGGAAGTGCCAGTAGAAACTCCCCTGGATAACACCTCATCCCTGACCCGCCAGGTTTCTGGCATTTTAACCACAGTCTGCCACGTAACAGTTCCTTAAACATTTTGTACTCGGGGTGCAATAGCCACAACATAAACACGGGAACCAACATTAATGCTTTCTCCTTTATGTTCCAATCCAGTTTTATTTGCACTAAATGTTTCTTAAACCTGTCCCTCTTTCCCATTCCAACAACCGCACCCTCACTACTCCTGTGTGGTCTTCCTGTAACTGGTTATCTATCCCATAGAGCATTGGGTGCTCTGGCTTTTGGGGGAGAAAAAAAGCTCATCCCATTTACCTCCTCAAAATGTTTCCTGTTTCTAGGAAGAAATCCAAGCTCCTTAATATGATTCGCAGCCTCTATTTACCTCCCTGGAATATAGGGACCCCATGACTTTAGTGTTTTACCCCACTTTAAGGCCATTCAGCCCCCCTCCCTCCCTTTATTTGGGGGAGGGGGCGGGGACTCTGCTTTGGTCCACAGGTACCTTCCTATGCCTTGCCCGGCAGTCTCTTATTTTTACCTACCACTCACTCTTTAGGAGAATGAAGGTGTTTACCCACCTAAGATCTTCCTTTTTACAGTCCCATCACCTTCACTGAACTCACCACACTATTATTACGTACCCACCTGGCAGTCTTTAGGCTTCTTACAGAGGGGTGGACTATCCTTACATCAGCAGCACCAAGCACAGTGCCCGGCTCTTATTAAATGCTCAATACGTATGAGATGAAAGAATGAGTTAACCAACAGAGACTTGTAGGCACACAACTGCTTAGGCCCCTGGCTCCCTCGGTGGTATTTCCATGGCCTCACCCGTATTAAGAAGTGCCTACTGCATGGCGCACAGGAATCCAGTATATAGGTGGCTGCCCGCTCTGCCCCTGCCCTTCACGAATGCGATGGTAACGTGCTGCTGCTGCCAACGTGACTATACAGCTGCCCGGTTTTCTCTTTTAATCCCTGGTTTTCGTCTCTGCTATTCACGTGCAGCTTGCTAAATGCTTCCAATTATTCTCTGCATACCAAGTTTCCTTTTATTTTTCCTACACGTCGTAGCTTTTCAGTGAATGGCATATAATTTTTCTTTGGACACCTGTTTTCATGCAGAAAAATCATCTCAGAGATGACTTCAGAAAGTTTTAAAAGGTTCATCAGTTGACATTTATTTGAGTTCGTTTTTACAGTTAAGGATCTTGTTCCAGACCAGAAAACCCTGGATCCTATGTAATCAAGGTTTGCTGCAGAACAATGACTTGTACCTATCTGGTGTTCACATACGTATCACCGCCAATGCTTCCCCATGAAGGAAAAATGAACATGTGCAGCGGAATAGCCGTCCAGGCACTAAGAGCAGCTAGTGCTCCAGTCCTGTAACTCTTGCTTGCAAACTTTGCTCCTTAGAAACTCACTCTGCCGGAAAATCTACAAAATACAAACTCAGCTGCAGAAAAACGTAAAGCCTCTGAACAATTCAGTACCTATGTCTGTCTCAGAAAATTCGGGTAATTCTCCTACCTCGTGTGCACTTTCTACACACCAGCGGAAGAGCTGAGGAACGTGGCTGTGAAACGCGAGAGTTCACATCTAACACTACCCTTCCACCCGGCTTTGGGGAATGAATACCAGAGCATCAGGGTACCACGGTCTTACACCGAAACAAAACCCTGCATTCTCAGACCAAAAGATGGTCAGCTTAGAATTATTTGCACCTACACTTGGACCTAGAAATGCTTGAGGTGACTTTTTCCCCAGACACTTTTATCCAAACAGTAATTCAAGTTGGGAACCTCACTGTCACTCATTTCCCCCACGTTAAGGTCCGTACCTGAGCGACGCAAAAATAAAAGCAACTACCCCAGGGTCCTCTCGTCGGAAGTACGCAAGGGAAAACCCCACACAGGACCGCACCTCCTACGTTCGCTGCCGAGGAGTACCCGGCGACAGTAATGAAGTATAAGGATGCTGTAACTTTTGATTGGGATGTCGCTTATGCAGGTGAGTTCAAGCGTCAAAACTCGCCGTACTGCAGGCTCAAGGCTGTGCAACTTTGTTTTTACAGCTCACAGAATAACACACACAAAACGAGGAGGCTCGAAAGAAGAGCAACCGCGACATCTTTAACAGAAAGGGACACCCTAACAGGAGGTGCACCTCTGGCTGTACCGCTGGGGCCAACGGGGTCTCATTTCCCGAGCGGCCCTGTCGCAAACGGAAGCTTCGATACTAGAAAGCTCTGGCCAGCTGCAAGGCGCGTCGTCCCCAGGGTTAACCCCTCCCGCTCCCCCCTTCCAGCGGCTCCGCAAGCGCCCTCCATCCCTACCCACCGGCTCGCTCGCCCCACGCCCTCACGGGCCCCGGCCGCCCCTCTCGGCCCCTCGCTCAACTCCACCCCCTACTTCCGGCACTCGGCTCCGCTCTCGCGCCAAAATCGCGTTCTCCGCTCCAAGCCCTCCCTGCGCCAGCCCCGGGATTTGCCTCCCGGGACGGGGGTCCGTCCCGCCCCAGGCTCCCCACTCGCCCTGCGGGGTCCGGCGGCCCCCTCTGCCCCCCGCCCCCTCCCCCCCGCGCCCGCTCGGCTCCCCGCCCCTCCCCCCCGCCCGCGGCCACTCACATTTTTCGCTGCCGCTCGAACTCCGCTTTCTTCTCCTCCTCCTCCCGCTTCTGCTTCTCGTCCAGGCTGCTGCGCTTGCTCACCGTGCGCCCGAAGATGTCGATGCGGTCGGGCGGGGACGAGGCGCGCTCCCGGTCCCGCTCGCGCCGGGACACGGCCGTGTTGGTGGAGCGCGAGCGCGAGCGCGACTCCCGCCGCCGGTTGCGTTTACTCTCCCGGGACTTGGAGCGCTTCCGCACGCGCTCCTTGTCCCGCGACCGCGACCGCGACCGGCTCCGCTTCTTGTTGTGTTTGCTGCTCTTGGTGTGTTTGGAGCGGGACGAGCTCCGGCTCCGAGACCGGCCCATCCTTCCGGGCGACGCTGTGACTAACCGCTGGCCTGGCGCCCCGCACGCGTCCCGCGGCCCTCGCCTCCGCCTCTGGACGCGGGCCGGCCGTCCTGTCGGGGCCGGGGGAAGGAAGGCTGTCGGCCAGCTGACTGTATACCGCTCTGTGAGGCGAACGGCCGCCGCGAAGGCCGCCTCCAACGACAAGGCCGCAGCGCCAGGAGTTGCTAAGATGGCAGCCGCGGCTGCACCGGCCGCCCTTCCCACAATGCCCCGCGCGGAACGCGCCGCTGCGCGAGCCCCGCCCCCCGACGATTGTTGCCGAAGGCGCGGCGAGCGCTTCCGAGCGCGTTCGGCTCCTTCCGGCTGCCCCGCGCCGGCCCGACGCACTCCGGAGCCGCGGTACCCAGCGCGCTTCGGCTTTCCGGTAAGAGGCCAAGCCCAGGCCGTAAGAACGACCCCGTCGCGTTTTGGTGGGAATGAAGTCATGCCTCAGCAGGACCCACCGACCGCACCGTGGTCTGGAGCTGGTTTTGTCAGGCAGCCCTGCGCTGCACCCGGGTGACCCTGAGCAGGTGACGTGCGTGGCTTCCTCGGTTGTCCGGTGCGGAGACCCGCACTTCCCCAGGTGGCTGTGAGGCTTGGAGGGCGGGCTCGGTGCGTGGGAGCCAGGCCGTCGTGCGGGGCCCCACGGGCTTTGCGTTTTGTGAGCTGGTGTTCCGTCCTCATTTTGGGGTTGGGGACGCCGAGGTCCGAGGGGAAAGCCCGCAGCCGCTGGCAGGTGGCAGAGCAGGCGTGGGGGCGGGGGCGGTGCAGCCCTTGCACATCACCACGAAGACCCACGGTGGCAACAACGACCAAGCACCTAGGGGTAAACATTAACCAGTTCCAGGGTCCCCCTGCTGAAGCCCCTCAGCCTTTGCTGAAGGGCAGAAACACGACCCGCGTAGATGAACAACATAGGCCCCACCTTTGGATGACAAGTGGGTCTCCAAAGTGCTCCAGTTCTTTCCAAGTGAAATTACAAAATTAGCAATTCCCAACAGAGTCCCAGGTACTCTTGGGAATGCGTTAGAACTAACTAAATAATTTTAAGTTTTATGCAGAAGATCACATGGTTGTGAGTTATCAGGAAGCCCTTAAAAAAACCAAAAGAGTCATAAGCGTTTGCCCTATAAAAGTAAAATAAACTGGACGCCAAGGCATTGACACAGCAATAGGAAAATAATCAGAATAGAAGGGTGGATCTAGTTTTCTGGAGATACATTCAAGTACAAACAAAAAAACCTTTTAATAACCTGGATTGTATAGAATTACCCCATTAATGTGTAAATGTTCCTGTCAATCTAATATGTACACACACACACACACACACATATCTCAGATGATGTCCATCTAATGCTAAAGATAGTTATTTCTGATTGGATGATACATTGGTTTCCTAGAGCACCACAAACTCATGGCACGAAAAACAGAAACTTTTTCACTTACGGTGCTGGGGTCCAAAAGTCCAAAATCAAGGTGTTGGCAAGCTTGGTTCTCTTGAGGTCCCTGGGCGAGAATCTGTTCCATGCTTCTCAGCTTCTGGTGGTTGCTGGCAAACCTTGGCGTGCCTGGCTTCCAGTCTCTGTAGCTGTCTTCACATGGCATTGACAGGGTGTGTGTCTTCTTATGAGGACACCAATGATTGAATTAGGACCGATCCTAATCCAGTGTTAACTCAGTTATAACTAACTACAAAGACCCTGTTTCCAAATAAGACCCCATGTCCAGAGTGGACATGAATTTTGGGAGACGCTAGTCAACATACTACAGGTTGGATTTATATACATATATATATATATATATTTTAATGTTTTATTTATTTCTAGGAGAGAGAGAGAGACAGCGTGAGCAAGGGAGGGTCAGAGAGAGAGGGAGACACAGACTCTGAAACAGACTCCAGGCTCTGAGCTGGCAGTCAGCACAGAGCCCGACGCGGGGCTCGACCCCATGAACCGCGAGATCATGACCTAAGCGAAAGTTGGACGCTTAACCGACTAAGCCACCCAGGTGCCCCACAGGTTGGATTTTTAAAAGCTTCTCCTTGGTGTTTTTCTACATGTTGTGAATTCTTTATAAATATGTAATCTAGAAAAAAATATAAGATGTTTCTTTCCAAAACTATAGGAATGTGAAAACTCTACGGTAAATGATAAGGATGATGCTTTAGTAGAAAAAGAATGGTTTATTAAATGCTGTTGCTATAATGAAAGTAGAGACACTTAAAAATAAGGTACAGTTGGGGCACCACCGGGGGGCTCAGTCAGTTAAGTGTCTGACTTCTCCTTCGGTCATGATCTCAAGGTTTGTGAGTTCAAGCCCCGCCTAGGGTTCTGTGCTGACAGCTCAGAGCCTGGAGCCTGCTTCTGATTCTGTGTCTTCCTCTCCCCCCCCCCCCCCCCCCCCCCCCCCCGGCTTGTACTCTCTCTCTCTCAAAGATAAATAAATAAACATTAAAAAATAGAAGATACAGTTACTTAAAAGCCATTTTGCATCATAACAGGAAGAAAAGTAAATTTAAGATGGATTGAAATCTATATTTAAAAGCATATGCTATTTTTAATAATCATGTAAGACATAAAAATGAGAGTCTATGAAGCAGTGGTTATACTACTTGGAGATTCGATAAAGACACACAAAAGCCTGTGTCTTATCCTAGGATTCTGCTACAGCACTCGGGCCCCAGAACCTCCATTTTGCACAAGCGCTCTGTGTGCTTCTCTTGTAGCTATTCCGCCAACCACAGTTTGAGAAACACTGGTGTAAAAGAGCAGGTTAATATATTTGTCTACGTAAATAAAAAACAAAACTTTGGGAGAAAATCTTTGGAATATTTAGCAGACAAGGCACTCATATCTCTACTATATAAAGAGTTTCTAAAAAAATAAAAGTTTCTAGTAATCAATAAGAAAGACAACCCAATAGAAAAATGAGCAAAGAATGTACACCTGCAGTTCACAAAGGAAGTATAACCGATTGGAAAAAAAAAAAGGATAAAAGAATCTTAACCTCACTTATAACCTAGGAAATGCATATTTAAATAACAATTATTTGCGTGTGTGTATTTTCCTTTTAGATGAACAGTAGTTTAAAAGATTACTAATAAAATGTCAGAGCAAAGGGTTGATTTGGCTGTGCCTTTCAGCATTTTAAGTTTTTACGTCCCGTAAGTAAGGAATCTCACTTCCGAGAATTTGTCTCACAGATAGGAGAGCACGATATATATGATGTAATGATGTGTAAGAATACTCATTGGGGCATTGTTTGGATGTCACACAATTGAAACCAATCAAACATTAAAGGTGGAAAAGTCTGTGGTATATCCACAAACGTAGCACAACACGGATTTACGTGGACTGCCTTGCAAATGTGTTCTCGGTATAATTATGGTTGGTGGGTGAAAAAGGAACGTTTAGAAAAGTATGCAGGCTTCCATCTCAGTTTTGTTTCCCCAAACATCGTTGTGTGCTTATATTTCTCTGTGTGAACGATAGCTACAAATTACATAGAAGGGTCTGGAATTGGAGGAGTAATCTGAGAATCTAGTCTGGTTGCTTGGAAAGCACGTGATCTATTTTATTTAGATTACACATATTCTGAGGTTGGCTTAAAGGTAATTTGTGGAACTTTTAAAGGAAGATGGTATATATCCCATTTAAGCCATGTCTTTTTGCTGCCCTTGGGGCGGGGTACGGGGGGAACCCTGGAGACAGAAGTGCATCAAAGACCACCATCCCTGTCCCAAATCACTAGGGATTTTCTCTGAGGGTCAGCAAAGGAATGAGGGACACATACACTTCACACCTCATTCTGTAGTGTAATTATCAAAGTCTCAGTATTTCACACTCCCTGAACTTACCTTGTTTTCTTATATATTCTCTCCTGCCCTGGAATCCAAATTCCAGGGCCCTTTGCTGTTCTGTGTTCACTGACACCCACGGGTTAGCGTGCTAACCTCACTAAATGTATACTGAACACATGCTGAATGACGAAGATTTGAGTGGTTTTTACTTTGAGTGTGATTTTGGTTTTATGTGTTTTGCTTTCACATTCTGTTTAAATTTCCAGATGCCCACCTCCTCCATTCCCTTCTCCCAAGATGGTTCCTCGGTTCATCTTTGGATAATTATGATAGCCAAATGTAAATAACAGAGCCTTCAAAAAGACATCATTCTGAAGCACAATCTCCTAATTAAAAAAAAAAAAAAAATACCAAGGAGATGCCTGATATCTTTCCTCCTAATTCTTTAAGAAAAATTTTTTTAATGTTTATTTTTGAGAGTGAGAGAGACAGAGAGAGAGGGAGAGAGAGAGAGAAAGCAGGGAAGGGGCAGGGAGGGAGGGAGACACAAAATCTGAAGCAGGCTCCAGGCTCTGAGCTGTCAGCAGAGAGCCTGATGTGGGGCTTGAACTCCCAAGCCCTGAGCTCATGACCTGAGCCAAAGCCGGATGCTTAACGGACTGAGCCACCCAAGCACCCTAACTGTTAAATTAGTAATCTTCAACTCCTTTTGACAGCTTTTAAAATTTGAGGTGTATCTTGTAATGTGCTGATGATGATCATTTACTCAGGTTCTAAATATTGAGCACCTAGTTCACGCCAAGTACCGTACTAGTTGCTCATAGGTTCACACCTATGCTTAGCGGATAGGTGGAGCGCTTGGGCGCCAGGTGCGAATCTCTCCATAGCTCACTTACCAACCAGTTGGTTTTCTTTGCCTGGAGCCGTCTGACACCCCAGTCATACTCATCCCTCCCTGTTCCACTCAAGGCCTTACCCCTTGGCAGGTTAGTTCTCCTTGGCAGAACTTGTCAGATTTGTAATTAAGGAAAGTGATTTCGTGAGCTTCTCTAGGAGGAAACCCTGTCTGATTTGTTTGCTGCTGTTTTCTCATTGAGGCCACACTACCTTTCACATGGGAGGCATTTAACAAAACATAATCTGAATGACTAAATAAACGCGAGATACGCACCGTCTGGTTTCTCCTGGCAGCCTTAAAACGCGGCCTCTTTTACAACGGCTTCAGACATCCAAAATTACAGAATATCACATAATTTGAATAGAGAGCAAGCTGATTTCATCACAGCTCTGGTAATAAAATCAGCAACACTCTCACTTCCAAAAACTATCTTTTGATTCAATTAAAAACGTTCAGTTCTCTCCAGAACATACAGCCTTATTTTCCTTAGCAAATGTTACTCGAATTCTCCACCGCAACAGATTG